TGAGAAGAACCGAGAAGAACCGGGGAATAACTCGACGTTTCGAACAGTGTACTCTGTCCGTCTTCAGACCTGAAGAGATAAATACATGGTGTTACCGCAATCTTTACTATAGATCTGAACGAAATCAATCAACAGAGGTCGCTCTTAATAGCGTGGTCTGGCTCCGGATTTTTGCCATCGTAAACCCAGACGTTTTTTACTGCATCACCCGTACTTGTAAGAGACGTGCGATATAGTAGTGCATTGGAGGCGTACACGTACCTAGTCCTGGCTGTTGTGCCCTTCCTCTGAGCTCCTCGTACACGTACATGTAACGTTGAGTGCGGCTGCTGCGGCGTATGCAAGACGTCATTCACATACCAGTCACAAATAAGTTACAGCAAAATAGACACACCCTGGAAGCCATCCGCAAAGACACATTTTGAAATATTCCAAGATACAGCAAAACGATCTGCAGTGAAACTTGACTAGAATCTGCAGCGAGGGAATTTGAAGTGAGCAATGTCGTCCAAGATCGTCTTGAACGGAGAGCTGGCGCCCGGTTCGCCGACTGTGGCTCGGTCAGGTGACATTACCAATGAGAGTTCGTTGGATCGGGAGTGTGAAAACTTAACCAGAAAGGCTGCTGCTGGAGGTACGAAAGTAATGCCATGACCATCTTTCGAGAACTCTAAGTCACTAACTCCGTGATACTCCGTGTGACAGCATGGAGGTACATGTAGGAAAGACCTACATGTACCTCCATGCTCAGAGGGGACAAGGTTTACATGGCGTTGTAATGCTGTGGGGTTTGGGAATCAATATTTTGTGGTGAAATGGTTCACAGTCATAAGAAAGCTATTAAATCAAATTTTTCCTGTCAGCACACCTGCTTAATCTATACCTCCTAAAAAGGGGATAACAAAAGTTTCAGACTGTTGCTTCATTTATGCCGTTCGTGTTTATCAGACTGTGCATGTGTTGAGCCCACCAATGATTGCACTTACTCCGCATCTTGCCTTGACCATTTTCGGTGGCGGGGATAACATCACACATGGCGCAGCAAATGTCGTGCATCTCACCCAACATGCCCAATGTGTGTTTCCGGGTCACAGCAGCAGCTAGGATGGTCCCATGATGAAAACAACACGAGATGTCTGATAAAAATGAACGGCATGAATGTCCATTCATGCCGTTCATGTCAGCAGGTGGAAGCGAGAAAATACTTTGTCTAATGCTCTGAAACTTTTGTTATCCCCTTTTTAGGAGGTATAGATTAACCCTAACCCTCCTCAGTCCTCCAACGGGTGAAGGATTGAGGAGGGTTAGGGTTAAGGAGGTATGCTGACAGGGGAAAATTTTGATTTAATAGCTTCCTTATGACTGTGAACCACTTCACCACAAAAATTTGATTCCAAGACCCTATAGTGTTAAGACGCCATGTAAGAGTATCACAGCGTTAGTGACTTAGAGTTCTCGAAGTACCTTGCCCGTATCAGTCCATACCGGTGTGAATTCATGGACCAGAAAGAGCTCCATACATGTACATATGATACATGGGCGTTCATTACTGTTAGTACCCTGTTTCTATAATATACCCCCAGCACTGTGGGGTCCGACTTCCGCTCCTCTCCCATGAACGTTCATGGGAGAGGAGCGGAAGTCGGACCCCACAGTTCTGGGGGTACCTACATGTACATGTATAATAAAGAAAACAAAGTCCACTTTTTCAAATAACTGATCTTCAGACCCTTGAGGATCCATTCCTGAATCCTAGTACATGTACATGTATCTCTATGCTAGTTTTGGGCTGTTCCACGGTGTCGGACGTACATTTTGGACACTTCAACAGTTTGTATAATTATACTTATAATCCTGAAGCAGATTTTGATTTCGATAAAAGACATCAGCTAGTTGGCACGTTCTTTTAATAACAAAATTCCTCACTCAGAATTATTATCCTTGTAGAAACTGACTCATAACACCATGGTGTCGGACGTACTCAGAGAAAGTTAATTTTTTGCGTTTTCATTTTTGAATCACGAACTCAGTGAAACGCTAGGACCTGAAGAAGTAGTTTTCCTGTGTTTAGTGTTAGCAGACCTTTGTTAATAAACTTCAAGGCAAGACACATTTTTACATGTATCTTGTGACTTTCAGATAAAGCATTTATTATATTAGTATCGGACGTACGTTTTTTGGTGTCAGACGTACACGTCCAAACTGACTTTTCAGAATAGAAGGTCATCGGTTCAAATCCAAGCTTGTCTCATTTTCTACCTTCATGAAGGCTTTAGTAAACTTTCCAAACCAAAAGAAAATGTCAAGCCATACAAAAATCATCAAAAGCAACTAGAAAGGAATTGGATGATGGGGCATTCAATGAAACAGTATGAAGGAAATATTGTCTAGGTGTATTTATGCAAATTTTGCTCATATAAACAAGTCATGTACTGTCAAACATTCAAACTAAAAAAACAGTTTTCTACAGTTTTCAATCCTTTAGAGAAATAAATCAAATTAAAAGACAATTGCACACATGTACCCGTAAGATCTTTTGGTCTCAGAACATGAAATTAAACATTTTTGTATGACAAATGCTGTGTGTGTACTAAGCTGCAAGTTTTAAAGATTTCCAGTGCACACTTCACAGGTTATAGTGCACATGCAAAATCCAAAAAGAAGCTAAATGAGTAGATGTCCTTTTAGAGGATGGCAAAAACAAAGGAATGGGCTAGCAATTAGGCTGAGAGATTACCCTTTTCACTGAAATTTAAGACTAATGGCATAATGCTTTTAAAACTACAGTCTTACATTGTATATATCATGATAGATACTGTACATGTACATGTATATACCATGGAAAGCATATACAAGTGGAACACCCCCTTTAATTCCTCAAGCAACACAAAGTGAAACCAATTGATTTTACATGTACCTTGAACAAAGGTATTAAAAAACACACCTTTGTGTAGTCTTTGACAATTCTTCTTTCTTGTGTGGGGCATATGCTCGATAGAGTCTGCTATTGAGTTCTGCATCTTTGGCCAAGACTAATGATTGCCAGGTCCTGGGTCCCCAAACCTCCTGACCAAGCTCTCACTTAGTGTTGGTGGATGAATCGTAGTAATGATATTATATGTGTGTTCAAGTATTGGTTTTGTGTCAGCATTAAAAAACATGAATTGAAACTGTTCAACATTTGAACAATTTAATGTATGATTCAATTTAAACTGAATAACGGACAATATTGAGGCTTTTTAGACATACTGTACATGTACATGTAGTAAGAACTTACTCAGGCCAACATGTACAAATTAATGTACACCCTCTTGTTGGGTCCAGCCGCCTTCTGGTACATATGTACAGTATACGCCACAAGGCTGCATGCTCCCTTGATTCTGAAAGGTGAAAAAGAGTTTATTGTACATGTACATGTATCTAGCCACTACCCCTAGAACAATGCCTAAGTGGTTAATCATTTGTAGAGAAAAAATGCTGAACCCTTTAGTTCTAGTGGTATCCAGCCACCACAATTCTTGAGTTTATAGAGACCAACAAGTTTCTTAATACCAGTACATGTACATGTATGTATGTATGTAAAAATACAATGCTTTGATGGACTAAAAACTGGATACACCTCTGAGATACATTGTAACACCTAAAATGAATGTACTTTTAACATGAAGATGCTACAGAATCTCACCCTCACTCATACATTCATGGGGGAGGGCATGGCCCCACTTTGCACATTTTCCTTCTTGGGGGAAGCCCACACTGTTCAAATCCCGCGTCATCGACATGTACACATTGTTCTGGCAGTGAAAAAGGTGTCATTGTCAACTGATACGGGTACAGATCCCAGCAAAGCAAGGTCATGTAATAACAAATACTAAATACATGTGAACTGAATCTGCTTATATTGAAGAAGGTACATTTCAGAGTACTGATTGTATATTATATTCTTGTCAATATTTTGATCACAGTGCTATACAGCCCTTTCATACATCTTTCACTAAATACATGTACGTAGTTGATCAGTGTCATTTAGTTACATGTATACAATAGACATGTACAGGTATTTGTGTTTGAATTGACAGCAGATCAAGGAAAGCCACAAGAACGATCTAATGGTGTGGTGACACCACCTCTACCTAAAGGATGTGTACCCCTTACACACCAGGTTGCTGGCCACATGTATGGCAAGGGAACGAGCAAAGCAGGTAATGGTAAATTTTCTCCAAATGTAGACAAATTGGCAAAATCAGACTGTTTACTCTAACAGCAAGAAACCACTCAATATGATGATGTATTTAGAAACCTACTGTTAGGGATTCTTCAAAGATGAGATACTGGTAGTGTGTTCAGCCAAGTAAGCAGTCTCATGGATCTTTATGTGTGCTCGTTGAATGCTCTTGTTGTGCCTTCAACTTTTCTTTGGGGCGCTATTGTGATTGTGGAAAGTCTGTAACATAATGCTCTACATACCGAACAGATTTCCACCTGTTGTGGAGATGTAAAATATCGTGTGGCATACACGTACCACTTTCCATAAGTGCTTTTTGTTACAACCTGTCTGTGTACATGTGTTCCTCTTGGGTACATGTTCTTGTACATGTACATGCCTATACATTTACATGTAGATCTCGGGAAGTTTGTGCATTTCTCAGTGACCAACTGATACATGTACATGTATTTTGTTATCAGTCATGTACATTCTGTACAGGTTACATAATTACATTTCCATACTGGTACATGTACTCACTACCTAAACAAAATGTTGACTTAACATTTGACTTGTTTACAGAATATGAAAGTACCTGTGCTTGCACTGAACATTTGCTGATAGGCAATTCCATGGTTACTCACGTTATGTTTTTCATGTACTTTTGAATTTCTTTGGGCTGTAATTATTTTCCAGTAAATGTTCAGTTATTGTTAACTCCATAGTATCCAGGGCATACCTAGGCCCACCTAATAACCAGAGATAACAATATTTATAAAAGCATTAAGCACAATATATAAGGCACACAAAATTGGTTACTCACGTTACATTTTTGGACAAGCATTAAAAAGCCAACAAGCTTTAATCAAAAAGTCCTAATACCAACAAGCTTAGGAAAGTTCTTTTGACTGAATCAAGAACCTTGCTATGGAGCACAAATACTGAAAGTAATACAACTCATTTGGAATCTTTAGCTTTCTAGAAATCCACCAGACATCTGGTTACTCATGTTACGGTTACTCACGTTACAAAGTGCAAAACACATAAAGGCATAAACTTACAAATTAACCTTACAAATTTTGACCTACATGTTTGAAAAACAAAATATCTATTTATTAAATTTTTGTAGAGGCAAAACGAATTTCAAGCATGTTCTTACCCCCAGAATTGTGGGATCCAATGTCTGCCCAGCTACGTTCGTGGGAGAGGGACAGACGTCGGACCCCACAGTTCTTGGGGTAGCATGTTCTGCTGATACACTTTCTTTATAAATCTTAACAATCTAAAATTAAGGGATTAGAGGTCAACAGTTTGCATCTATAGGGAATTTATCTGTACGGAAAGTAAATGTAGATCAGTAACCATGTAGCCAAAGGCTCTGCGCATGATGGAACTAAAACTTCACAGAAAACTTGAAGTGGCCTCAGTTGTTTGCAACTGCAGGTGCATCAAGTTTTGTTACCAGCTTTTCTTGAAGATAGAAGATCTTACCTCTTGGTGTTGGCCACTTGCAGTTGCAGTTTCCAGCTGGATGCATCACTGATGGTATTCATTCTTACTGCCACGGTCAATCACTTCTCCTGGATATACATGTAGCAGCCCTGGATATACATGTAGCACCCTCTAAAACAGTAATTAAAAGACAAAAAAATGTCTTTATTAATTATATTTCTGCCTGGCCATTAACCATGAAACAACCGATACTGATCATCTTCACAAAGCCCAAGTACCAGTATAACTTGCTGAACCCTGTGATATATTGCATACTGTAGAAATACATGTATAGGCCTACATGCAAATAATCTGATATAAAATTACTTCAACCCTAACCCCCTAGGCTCCTGCACTAGAAAGCATTCTAAACCTCACAAAATCCAACAGGTTCATGTACTTGTCTATGTACTTGTACATGCAGGTTAGTGTACCAAACCTGATAAACTCCAACAGAATGAGCCCGTTGGATTTTGAGTGATATGGTATGGATGGGTCTATGCAGTATAGGATGACTTGCATTGAACAGTAGCAAACCTGACAAAATCAAGCATAGTCCAACAATTGGTACAGCAAGCCAGACACTGCACACAGTGACCCGTGTGTGTCCCAACTCACACAGAATCCAACACCATCTCCCTGGGCCTTTCATCCTAAGTCTCACAAAATTCAACAACAAGTTCCTCAGGTACAGTACCAAATCCTCAAAACCTCACAAAACCTGCTGTTGGAGTATGGCAGGTTTTGGGCAGTTAGGGTTAAAGAAACAATAGATATAAGACAGAAATCTTTCTACATGTACTTGGTCAGTAATAAATGGATTATGAAAGCAATTTCACGAAAACTTATACACTGTACATGTACGTACGATTTGTAAATATTATAAAGAAGGAAGGATAAGTACTCACAAGATCTGCCAAAATTGATAACACAAGCCTCCAAAGATGGTCAACAGTACATGTATGTGCTTTCCTTCCATGTACTCATTTCAGACAGTGTAGTGCATCATAGGTGATGCTATACTGCCTTTTTTGTTTGAAAATGAGAAATTTGCATGTTCTTTGCTTATAAAGCATTTCTGTGTGCTATTTGCATATAAAGCATATTCGTGTGCGAGAGTCTGCTCATATAATCTTTTCTTATACTTACTAAATCGGTTACTCACATTACACCCATGGTTACTCACATCACAACTTCCATCACCTCGCCGCATTGAACAGTGAATAGTCACATCATAAAGAACCCAGTTTTTACATTGGGGATCATCAAGAGAATGATAATTGAAAGTGGCAACTACTGAAACTAAGAAATATATTCACTACCTGGGGAGAAAAAATCATATTTTGGTTACTCATGTTACACTACGTTCATTTAAACATTTAGTCATGACATGCTCATGAAATACATGTAATTCAAGCCACTCCTTTTCTAAAATCTGACTTCTAGTGTCATATGTTTTACAGAAAATGCATAACTGACTAGATCATCCTTTAAATTTCCATAAAATAAAACAAAGAAGTTTCCACTTTGGGAAAACTTTCAGTTAAAAATTAACATTCCACTCAAATGACCATTTCTCCAAAAATTCTGTGACAATTCAGTTATTTTGAGTTGTTCCACAAATTTTGAACTGTATTAATCAATGTTTTATTGATAACACTGGATAATAGCTTTCAAATGTGGATTTGAAAGTTTAGGGCCTTGTCCACTGTATCATGGAATTGCTCTGATGCATAAAGGATACAATTTACATGTACATGTAGTAAAGTTTGTTTTAATTTTGCATCATCTACATACTGTACATGTATGTGCACTACATGCATGCTGGACTTGAAACAGTAAAATGTTTATTGTAAAATATTAAATTTTTTTCCAATATGGAAGAGTTTGCAATTTTCCATATTATATCATGACTGTTGGTCCAGTTGTGTTTTTGTGAGACCCAAATGATGGACAGTGGAATATGGGAATTGAATGTACCATTCCGCAAGGCAAAGTCAAGTGGATTGGAACCTTTAATCTGTCACTGAAGTTATCCTCACCATTATCCTCACCATTGCAGCAATGTGCATCATTCATTTTTCATTTTTTTTGTTTGCATGAAGAGAGCTTAAAAGTTGACTCCTGATGGCGTGCTTCTGGAACCCTTGAACAGAAAAATAATGTGCAAAGATTTGAGAATCTGTGATATTTTTTCATTTAGTTACATGTACTTCCTAAAAAATCCAACTTGGAAAAAGGGCTTTGGAAAATATTTGCTATTGTATCAATTTATCCCCGCATGCACAGGACCAGAGAACTGAACTCTGGGACAGGTGGACACTCGCATTCTAACTTTTGTGTCGATTGGCCTGAGCAGCCGTTTATTGAACTTGACACAGTTCAGGTTGTTCCCGCCCGAAGCTGGTGACGTGGAACTGCAAAAAATACATTGCGCACAATCAAAGTATAGCTACCTAGCAATATATTGAAATAGTTCCCACCCGAAGCTGGTGACGCGGAACTGTAAGTATATCTTTCATTTCGTTTCAAGCAAAGTGTAGCTATTCAGCAATAATTACAGAGCTTGTTCCCTGGTGACGCGGAACAGCAGCACATATCAGCAAAAATACCGGTACTATGGCAATCAGCAAATGTCAGCAATTGTTCCTGCCCGAGCCTGGTGACGCGGAACAGCAACTCATATCGGCAAATACATAGAGCCATCAGCAAAAATGTATGAAAAGCAATTATCATATCAGCATTTGTTTCCACCCAAAGCACATGGAGCGGTAAATTAATTTTTGAATGTACCTGCGTGTACAAAGCCTTCGATATGCAAAATCAAACAGCAATTACATCTGGCAGAATGCAAAATTACCCAACTTTCATGAAAAAATTAGCAAGGATTTACTCCAGCATGCAATAACTTTGGGCCAACCATCAAACGCTGGGATCGGACAGCAATTTCCACGAGGTGCGGCCCGACTTGGGCTTACACTGGGTTGCTAGAATAATGGGCAACTAATGAGCATTTTCAACAACCGCTTACAGCTATTTATGTCAAACGGCAGAAATTACTGAGTACGAAATGGCTTTTCTTAATTTGGCCCTTCATAATCTAGTGACTCCCCCGACAAAGGAAGGGATCAGGCCTTTCCTTTCGGCACATTCCCATAAGTGTCGTAAATAAGAATACAGTGCCTTTAAACCGAGGTCAATTTGCGGTCCCTGAATGAAATTCACGCCAAATGGGCTTGTTGCTGAATGAAGTCGGCAACATGACTGCCGCCAAATAGACCTCAGGTGGTGGTATTAAGGGGAAATGCAACAGGCAAACAATATGGCACCAGGGCTTGGTAGAAGTTGTCGAGAATGAATGAACAACTATCATCAGTCAAATGAAATTCGTCCACATGAAATAACGCCGCGGACGACCACTGAATCTGGGGGTGCCAAATAACGCCCCCATGAGCGTTTCGAAATAATGTTCAGCGAACGTCGCGTACGCTCGAGGGAACTCTGCTGTAGGGCGTGAGGGTAAGTTTGGCGGGGCAGTAACTCGGAATAAAAAATGACAGTATGCGGCAGTGCTTCTCTTGTCAAATTGATGCACTGCCGTGCTAGAATACTCAGTAAATGTTTGTGTACAAGCCCCAGGTCGTTGGCACTAAACTGCAGGATGATGACGTCAGGTAAGATCGGAACAGGAAATCAGAGAACTGGAACATCTGGTGTTTTCGCCGTCCCATCCAGTT